AAGTTGATTTATTATATGCGAGGAACAAGTGTTTCTTTCAAGAGATTGGAATAGATTTATATGTGGACGGATTTGAGAGTGTAAGAAAGAAGAGACGAGGAAAGAAAGTCAATTCATCATTTTGTTTTTAGAGTTTTGTTCACCTTTTTTTATAAAATATCTCCTGACAACTTTAATTTTATTTTAACATGATTTTTATTATTTATATTTTAATTTTTATCTTATCTTAAACGGTAAAAAATAATAATTTCATTTTATTCATTAAAACATTTCTTAATCTATCATGTCTATTATATTTTACATAAATTTTCATCTCAAATATATTAAAATCTTACAATCTTTTCATTAATCTAACAAAACTTCACATTCACCTTCTGTTTCTCTAAAATTCACTTTCCTGAATCCAACTTTAAATCCAAATACACCATTCCATTCTATTTCTAACAACACGTGTCCATGTTTAGAGTTAAGGTACTTAAAGTGAAATTTACATATTCTGAACAAAATGTTTTCAACTTCAAATATTTCTTAATCAATTTCTTTGAAACATAGTTCCATTTGGGGATGGACGTTTCACCTTGCATCTTGAAGGATTTCACTCTACATCTCCAAAACATTTTGAAATACCTATAATGCTGTCCATTAACATGATTAATTTTTAATAAAAACAGAATAATCTTTTGATAGATTCTTTGATACAGATTCCTAATCTCCATTAAAATATCTTATTTTTATAATTTTAAGATATATATTTATTTTTTAATGAAATATTAGGATTTTATGAATATATAAATATTTGAATTAATTATGGATTAAATATTTTTTTTGTAAATATTTAATATTTATTTTAATGAATTAATAATACTTAACATTATCTAAAAAATATTTTAAAATTTTCATATCATTTTTAAATAAATTTATCAATTTTAAATAAATTTATTTTTTTATTAATTAAACTAATTCATATAAATACCTAATTAAACATCTAGACATAATATAATAAAACATTTTAAAATAATCTAATAAACATTTATAAATAATATAATTAAAAAATATCAAAAATATTGTATCAGGGAATTAGAGATGTTTCTCCTTTCCATATGCCATATAGTGTTTTTTATAATAATAACATTTATGAACATTAAACACATTTTATTAGTTTCATTTGTCATTAAATCTTTTAATTTTATAGCACAAATCAAAGGGTTAAATATGTTTTTAGTCCCTAAACTATTGACCGTTTCTGGTTTTCGTCCCTCTTCCAAAGTAAGGTACAATTTGGTCCTCGTTCTTTAGAAAAACGTTCATTTTAGTCCTCAAAATTTTGTTTTTAGTCCTCAAAACGTTCGTTTTTTCGACTAAAACGAACGTTTTTCTAAAGAACGAGGACCAAATTGTACCTTACTTTGGAAGAGGGACGAAAACCAGAAATGGCCAATAGTTTAGGGACTAAAAACATATTTAACCCCAAATCAAAATATCAAACATAATACAAATGTTAACTTTAACATATAAATGAGTAATAATGATAATCAATAATACAATCATTATGATAATGTTTATCAAATTTTATTAGTTAAAGGATAAATATAAAATTTGGAGGTACAAGATAAAATCTTTTAGTGAAACACCCTTTGGAGATTTACCTGTGTTGCCTTCTTTGATTTTTAGTTAAGGTGGATAATAGTGAAACCTTGTCGAGTGTTGCTCCCTTCACTACCACCAAATGCTCCCTGCACCACCCCATACCTAATTTATCCTTGCTATAAAACGGATTTCAACATCCGTTTCACCTGGATATTGACATCCGTTTACATATTTTATATTTTAGTTTATTATTTTTATTTTAAAAAAAAAGAAAACCTTAACGGATGTGGCCACATTCGTTAACAAATGTGACACATAGTTTAAGTAATTTTATAAAAAATATTTAAATAATTATTTAAATAATAATACATAAACTAAATTAATAATAATTATTTTATTAAATAAAATAAAATTAATTAATATATAACTACGTAATAAATTTTAAAAAAATTAAATCATATTTATATTAATTTAAAATACAATAAATTAATAAATTAAAAACTAAAAAAAAATTCTCAACGGATGTGATCACATCCGTTAACGAATGTGGCACATCCGTTGATGATCTGTTGAAGAAAAAAAATAAAAATGTAAGATATTTTAAAATATAAAAGATAACTTTAGAATTTAAAAGAAAAATGTGGTAGTACAGGAAACAGCGTGGGGTGGTGTAGGGAGTAACCCTCAACGCTGCCCCCAGACTAGATTTTGGGCCCAATTTGGTTTGCTTTGGGCATTTTCCTAATTTCCTTACTTTTGGGCTCGGTGCCTTAATTGTTTGTAAATTATGGAATTTCCTTCCTTTTGGGCCCAATCTCCAGTTTTTGTTCATGTTCAAATTTAGTAACAACTACTTCAATGAATATTTTTTAAAATCATCACAATTCAAAATTTTAGCTATAATAGCGTTTCGTTTTTTCTATATATTTTTTAATTGATAACATGACAAATGTGAGAAAATATTTAATACTATGATAAAAAAAAATCTTAGTTGTTCATTGGAAAACATATTATTAACGTCCGTTTCTTAAGAAATAAATGGTTCAAAAGTTACTTTCCTATGTACGTCTATTATCTATTTATTTATTTTGAAAAAGGGTAAACGTATATTTTAATCTCAATGGTATACTAATATTAAAATACTGAAAAAATAATTATTTATTATTACCGTCCTTAGATGGTTGGAGGCAGAGAGAGTCAAAGGACGTCCACGTATATATTGATTGGTTGGACTCCATTAACTAACGAACACCAATGATTGATTAAAATTGCATGAGGACTAAATAATCTTATCATCATTCAAATTAACAATCATTGTATTCTTTAAATCAAATTTCAAAATCCTTAATTTTTGTCGAATAAATTTTATTTGAAGAAATTAAATATTGCTTTAATCACGGAGGATGATTATGATGATGATGACCATAACATGGGTACTTTAATTTTGGTCTCTGAATTCTGAGCAGAATCTCCAGAAAATAATTGCTGTGACCGGGAGGTACCAGTCCCACACACCAAACCACACTTTCTTACTTTCTTCTCTCTTCACTTCATTTCTCATGTTTCTTTTTTTCAACTCACCTTATTTTCTTCTTCATACATCCTATCTTCCAAACGTGCTCATGCATAAACCTTTATACTCCAACAAGCTAGCCATATGTATGATTAACTTCTCGTTACTGGGAGAATGAATTTATGTACATTCTCCTACAAATTATTCACTTATCAACAAAGTTGATTTTACTGTATGATCATCCAACCAGTTAAGATCGAGCGGTTTATCATCCAACAAGAAAATAACATATCGTTTTAAAACAGTCATTTGATAATTAATTTGAATAATAATAATTATTATTTAACTGTTAAGTAGAATAATAATTATTTATTGGTGATTAATAAATAATGGTAAACTCATTATTATATTTTTAAATATATATTTGACTGAAAATGCACTAATTACTAATTTTTATTATAAGATTATTACGCAAAGTTAGTGACTTGAGCGTGAGAGTGTCTTTAGTTCCCACGACTTAGATAGGAAAAAGAGAAAAATAACGAAATCTCAATGATTGAACAAACAACTTTAAATGTTTTGAATAAGAGATCTTAAAAATAATGTATATATATATATATATATATATATATGTGTGTAATTTAATTATGGTGTAGCGCATGTAGAGTGTATAATTTATTGAGATAAACCATACTTAATTGAGAGAGATGGTTGAATTTTTGTGTTTTAAATGCATGTAGGAGATATTCTATGGTTTAAGAAGTAACGTTGGTGCAACTAATTAATGAGGTTGAGCAGGCGTTACAGCATCTTCAAACCTAATATTGGTTTAGGTGACATTTGGTGCAATTAAGGACACCCGAGATTGGATAGGAATAAACTATTTCAGTTCTATTTCGCTTCTCTAAACCCTGTCCTCATAGTTAACAACATTACAAAGTTTCAGTCAATGCAATAATTTCCCATTTCCGTATTTCAATGTTCCACTCTCCAGGTCCCAACTTGTAAATTCATTCCATGAATCGATTATTAAAAAAGCTCTATGTTTTTTTTTATTAACTAGGCTTAATTATTATGGGTCCATTAATTTGATTGCGTGCGACGGTAGTTTAACAAAACTTTATGAAGCAATTCAAATATTCTGTTTTTAAATTAAGCAAATTTAATTCTTCAATTTTCTTGTTCTTTAAGTTATTATTTTTCATCCAAATTTATCATGGGCTCATGATTAATTTTAGGTACGGGTAATTAGCTTAAGAGATTGAAAAATTATTTTACTTTAGTGATTCGATCAAAATTACTTAATTCCCAGAGAAATATCAAAAAGACTAAAATTACGTAATAAGTATTAGTTTTAATTGGTATTAAAGTTTTGCTTCAACAATTAATAGTAACTCTGAAGGTCGACTTTCCTCACATGATTTTTAGATGAAACTTTGATTTTAGTTAAAGGACTATTATCACAAAAAAGAAGGGTAATATTCAACTAATAGTGCCGGCTTCATTGGCTTTTGACTTTAATAGCAAGTTCGGCCAACGGAACAGTGACGCGTGTTCAAATAAATTAGAAGTAGAATACACACTGTCGCAAGTTGAAAAATGAACTAAGGAAGTAGATGTAGATAATTTCTTTACCATTTCTCATATAAAAACGGGCTAAAGAAATATAAAAGGTATATAAGATTATTCATGTGATACAAAATTATACGATGTTATTATATAAACAATGTAAGAAAAAAAAGTTTTTACTGTGAAGAGGATTTCGAACTATATAACTCTGACAACAAAGTCTAAGAAACTGAAATCTTGCGATACAAAAAAAAAAAAAAAAGTATTACGTGACAGTGTTGCTGAAAATGGGATGAGAAGAATATAAAGAAGGGTCACACTCTGTAAAGGAAAGCTTCCTTTTCTTAGGTGCTTCTATTTTGTCCTTGCTTACTTCGTTTTGTTTCAAAGACCAACACTATTATTAAACACCATTGCATTTGCCAACTATTCCATTTTCCCAATTCAAGTTTTTCTCTCTTTCTTCTGCTCTCTCCAATTCACGAGATCTCTGTGGCCCTAACCTTCCTTCTTCAATGTATTGTCACCGTAATTCCTCTTCTTTCTAACTTCTCTGTTCTCACTCGCCACAGCTATGAGTCAACTCGGCGTGGTGTTGCAGGAATCGCTACAGAGGGAGCCCAGAACCATTCTGGGGTTGTTGAGTGATCAGATGGACGGTGTAGAGAGTGGGGCTCGCAGGAGGAAGAGCTTCAAGGAACGCTTCGGATTCATGGGCATCGGCTGCTGTGGGGCCTCATGGGGGTTCCGTTCCGACGCGTTAAGTTTCACCCAAGGAGAACAACAGCAGCAAGCCAACCACCAGGAAACGGATCCGGGACAAGGGTCGGGTTTGGACTGTGTGGACCAGGGTGCAGCGGGTTCAGGTATGAACTTGGCGGCGGCGCTTGCGGCTGAGCGGCAAATCCGGGGGCCGCAGGAGGAGGCGGGGAGAGCTCCGGGGACGCCGTGGAGGGTGTCGCTGATGAGGCTGCTGGAGGAGAGCGAAGGAGGGGAGTCCGCGGCGGTGGAGAAGGAAAAGGAGGAGGAGAAGGGTGATGTTGTGGGGAATGATTCGATGTGCTGCGTGTGCATGGGAAGGAAGAAAGGCGCGGCCTTCATCCCATGTGGTCACACTTTTTGCAGAGTGTGTTCCAGGGAACTGTGGCTGAATCGAGGGTCCTGTCCCCTCTGCAATCGCTCCATCCTCGAGATCCTCGACATTTTCTAGCACATCACTGCTCATTCTTCAATACTTCACGCTTTTTCTTTTTCTTTTTCCTTTTCTTTTTCACTCTTCTCAGTTCTTCATCCAAACAACTTCATCCTTTGCCACGTGTAATACCATACTATGAATTTCATCTCCTCTCTCTCTCTCTGTTACCATTTCTATCTGTTCATGTAAATTCTACCATATCAATAGACAAAATTCACCAAAGTCCGCGTTATTGTTCAAATTCTTTTCCTTTTATCTCATTTTTATATAACACATTTTTCAACACATCTTCAGTCTTGACTTTTGGTGTTATCAAATGTATTTATAACTACTGTTACCAGATTCAATACTCAGATATTATTGTCATGGCCTGACACTTTTGACTCGCCACTCTTTCATTGTTCAGAAAAATATTGATCTGAGAAAACACAACATCTATATATTAATATAAATCTTTTGGTGTTTGGTTTTGTATTATTTTGGAAATTAAGGGTGTCGTTGTATTTTGGGATTTTAAATATTGAGAGTAGGAGTGCGAAAAATGATGTGGAGGCTGAAGAAGAACACTCGCCATTTTTTTGGATTTTAGAAAAGTATAGTTTTATGAAATATGCTCATTTTTAGCAAACGTTGTTAGAAAAATCTTATCGACATTGAAAGTTTATTCATTAAAAATAGTGTAATTATATAGTTTGCAATTAAAAAAAAACAAGAAATGGAGCAGAATAGATAGAATTTTAAGTTCCATGAAGTTGTAGATACGTGATAAGTTATTGTTAAAAATATTAAATTAGAAGCTGTCTTGGTGAAAGGGTCTCCAGCAAAATAAGTAAATAGAACATATAAACACGTAGATTTAGCTCTAAAACATACAATCATTGAAAAAGGTTATAAACTTGAGATTCTTATAACATTTCTTGGTTTTCTTGTTCTCTTTTATCTACATGAAAAAAAAAATCAAAAAAATAATTACACAGACTAGTTAATTTAATCTAAATTCTTAAAATATGTATAAGTTTCATTTTTACACGTTTAATTTTTAAATTGGAATCCTTTTAGAAATAAACATTAAAGGGATTTGTTTTGAAGTTCACGATATTGATTTCTATCATTTTCCTTAAATATTCTTGAATCTCTGTGACTGTGTGTGGCTAGTTTTTATTTCTATTGTAATAAATGTTTAATTACTTTAATATGTTGTCATAAAATAATATTATACTTGATATTTTATTTTAATTAGGTAAGTCAACTTGTTTATCTTATCAGAAGATTCAACTACGTTTGTTACTTATTGATTTGGCAAAAAGAACAAATTAATTGAACTAAATGCTTTTTCACTAATATGAAATTTAGTAGTATGTATACCTCAACTTTATTGACATCTTCCAAACGATATTTCAATTTGTTGGAGATATCTAATTGTCTAGTATGTAACCAAATAATGTTAAGGTATTTACACTATTAAAGAATGTTAATTGATTTATTTTTATCGCCATTACAAGACTATATTATACGTGTAATGACAATTTTTCAAACAATGATAGCAATATCTTAAACCGACTCAATCAATTTATAATGTGTGAGAAAAATTTAATCAGTTGTAAAATTATTTTTGTAATCTTTTTCACATTTTATTTATAAAAGAACATAAATCTTAAGCGCATATGAAATTTTCTTGTGAATCCATCAAATTTAAAGAATAATTTTTCATCTTCCACTATAATCACCTATAATGTAACATCATCATTCAATATCTCAATTCTTCAATAATAATAATTATAATTAGAGATCAAAAAATTATTAAAACAAAAATAAGTAAAACAAATTTTAAAAAATTAAAATTATATAAAACAGAAAAAAATGAATATTGAATTTCAAAATTTGAAAAAAATAAATTTCATCTGAGAGAAATGTTTATCATATTTTCAAAATCCAAAAAAAACTTCTACCCCATTTCAAAATCCAAAGAGTTTTCATGAGAATTTCAAAATTTAGTGAATTTGTAGACTGAATTTCGTAATATTGTGAGTTTCCTAAATCGGATTTTGAAATATAATAAATTTTTAAAATTAAATTTTGAAATTTAATATATATAAAATATAATAAAAATAAATATAAAATTCGAAACCAAACTTAACCAACAAAAATGCATGCATCCAAAAATATGAATGAGATGAAATGAAGACAAATCAAAGACCTAGAGCGTTGTTGTTTGAAAAAAAAAAGAAATTGAAGAGAGAAAACGCGTTCAAAAATAAATTTTCAGTAAATATAAAATATAAAAGTTCTAGTAAATATATTTGATAAGCAATAATTACTTAATTTATTATTTATTTTGTATATATTTATGAAAGTTAAATTTATCTTCACAATGAAACTTAGAGGTACAGAAAGAAAACAGGAAAAAAAAATCCCTAACTATCCCAATGCTATTCCTTCTAGGAGGCTATTGTTTCCTGCACGCCCCCATTTTTCTGTATGCACTTAAAGGCATGATTTAATGACCACTTTACCTTTATAGAAAAAATTAATAAAAACCTAAATTATTTCTGTACTGTTGAGATTATGCAAATTGTAATGTATTTCTGGATGTAGAAGTACATTTAGAATGTAATATTTTTTTAAAATATATTCTAAAAAGATAAATGTATTTTGAAATTTATTCTTCCTCATTTCCTCCACCCGACTCTATCTTTCATCGTCTCCTGCCGCTGCGCCAACCCCCTTTTAATAAGGGTATAACGTGTATTTCAAAAATTATAGGAATGCAGACAAAAACAAGGGGTGCAGGAAGGAATGTTATTTTTCAAAGAAAAGGCCGAAGGGCCCAATGCCTAATAATTCCAAGAAACTATACAAGGATTTCGTAGCTACCTAGTTTATTGCTAACTTAAGGATAATTAACCTGCAATGTGTTTTTTCTTTTGTGTGGCTGATTAAACCCTGTTGAAGTTATAGGTGTTGTTCGAATCGTGTCCTAGAAATTTTGGTAGTCTTGTAGGTCCTTTAATAACTTAAAATATTATAATGTTTTTCATTTAAATTTATTATCTCCTAATCTGAGGAAGATAACTGTGGCTAATTACATTTAATAAATTTTTAAGCTTAACTTATCTTTATGCTATCCACTACTAAATAGAGGTATTCAAAATACATATCCTTTGTGCATAATTATAATTACTTTCGTCAATGAAAATATAGGAGTCATTATTCAATTAGAGTATATTTAGATTTATTTATTCATTATAATATATTTAGGATTTCCTAAACTTATCTAAAAAAAAAACTGTATTTTCCGCTTGTTTCTTTGTTCCCATTCAACATATATAATCATAACTCAGTCGGTATTAAGTTAAAAATTGGATGAAAAAGTAACAACCTTGAAATTGTGTGTATTAGGCCCATTTAGGTTTCATAATTCCCTGATGCACCATGCTGGCGGAACAATATTGATAAAAATACACTTAAAAATGGGTAAAAACAAAATTATGTGGGTTCTTAGTAATTAATTGTTTTAATTTTTATGTATAACTTATTTCAATAATTGGCGGCAAATCTTTTTGCAGGGCTTATCTATAGAAATAAGAGAAAGTACATCATTAAAATTTTACAAATTTTATCAACATTTCAACAGATGAGAGGAAAGAGGTAAAATAAAAACCAAAAGTATCTCTAAACAACAAAACAAATAGTGCAACAATTTTGCTTGAGTTAGACTTTCGTAACGAGGGAAAATGGTTAAAAAAAGAATTTGGTTAGTTTTGCTCACAAAAATACCTTTCTTTAATCTGAAATATTTTTTTTCCTCAAGTAATATTGTTTGGCTTGAACCAAAATTCATTAATTTCAAACATACAAATGGGAGAGTTCCTCCTGCACCTCACCATCTCAGCCTACACCTCCCAAAAGACGTTTTTGTTGTTTATTTATTAAATTTTGAAAAAGTTTAATGATGATTCAACCCTTCTTATCTATTATTCATTGCTCGACCTTTTTTGGCACTTTCCATAACCATACCCACAATATGCTGGTGGCTCACAACAACCAAACTGAAAAAACAAAACGAGCAAGTTGTTCTTGTGGCCACTATTGATGGCGAGGCCCACGATGAGCGTGAACGTGACGAAGAGGTAAGCGTAGAGCACCTGTTGACGAGGTAAAATGACCCCAAGGCGGAGACCAGCACCACGAAGATGCCGTCAACTAGAAGCGGCACTTGCAAGACCTTCTGGCAGTCGGAGCCACCGCGGATGTCAATGTAAGCGGAGTAGGCCACGACAGCCACGTCGAGAAAGAAAAATAAACCCTAAACCGCTATTCCAATTGTGATGAACGTCAACGCAGTTCCATGTGCGGTGAGCGTCAATCGCAGTTCCATGTGTGGCGAGCATCAACTGTAATTCCATGTGCGGCAAGCATCAATCACACTTCCAAGCGGCTACCATGAACCGCATCTCCAACTCCGGCAGCCTGTCAACCACACTTCCAAGGTCTTCGCCACCAACAAAAACAGTATGTGAGAATGAAGTGCGACAAGTAAAACTGGGAAGGAGGGGAGCAAGGGAGAGGAAGTACTCCGCGAGAAGAGAGGAAAAAGAAAGGGGTGTAGGATTTGAGAGCATGAAATGCGAAAAAGATTAACAGGAAGATTGACAGAGAAGGAAGGAGAAGGGGGTGTAGGATTTGGAAAAGAGAGGCAAAGAAGGAAGAGTTTGGTGTTTTTTTTTTAATTGTTGAATGAGTCAAATAAAAAAATAGTGAAAAGATTAAAGGGCACAGTTGAAAATATAAAAAAATAAGAAAATGCATGATGAGACGGGTGAGGTGGAAGGAAAATCACTCTAAAAATTGTTGGAAGATATTGAAAACAAAAGGGACGGAAGGTAAGAAACTAAAAATCAGATAAAAAGAATCTTGGATCTAAGTTTCCCTTTGCTAAGATTTTCTTGATATTTTTATGCTTGTGATGAGTATCACGAGCAATTACACATTCCCATTGAAATTAGATGTAAAATTTTAAATATCTCTCATTCCTCTCAACCCTTTCTCTTTCATCTTTCTCACTCCAATCTTTTCTCTGTCATCCTCCTGTAGCCCCAATTGAAAAAATCAGAAACACCCTACCCCCAATTGAAAATTTAGAAACACTTGTCGTTAAACAATCTTACAAAAAAATGATTTTATAATGAGTTTTGATCTTATAATTTTTGTCTTATCTAATTTTATCCAATTTTCACAAGC